TTTTAACATAAGTTTTTAGGGCTTGAAAATTAGGGAATTGAAAATTGTGTTTTCTCATTGCAGACTGACTCAAATGGGCTTTCTAATCTAGAGCACATATCACTCACAGTTTGCAGTGACGATGATTCATGATGAACTCTTTGTTACCACAAGAACATAACAGGTTTGCTAGACTGTATGGTAAACATTTGGTACAAATTAAAAGAGGACTCAGTCACACATCTGTATTTCTGTACCCCAGCAGTCATATTTATTTACAATACCGATTTCTAACAAAATAACAGACCCAGTGTTTTCAAGAAACAGAAAATAATCTTTTATGATAAACTTTTTATCTAAAATGTTTGTTATAAACCTTTACATACTTTACATTGGCATGCTTCTTTTAATAAATCTCAACATGACATAAATAATAGAAGCAAAATAATAATTTTACGCCTCAGGCCCCGCCTCCTCCTTTTATTTTTTTATTTTATTTTCAGATTTTGAATTATTACCAAACAAAGATGTCCATCTATAATAAATTAATAATATAAATAATATACACACATATATATATATATATATATATATTTCTTTTCTGTCATTATTTTGTATTTGAGATATAGACTTCTTATAACCTTGGAAGTTGTCAACTAGATGGTTATTTCAATGTGATCTATTTATTGAAGAAGTTTTCTTTGAATTTGTAAATGGACCTTCACTTAATTGCTGCTATTTAATACTGCGAGTGATGCTCCCGATTATGACTTTTATGTAACTTTTTTTTATAGTTGTATATCTTTATGTTAATTTTTTTTTTTATTTGTAGATGTTTATGTTAATGTCAACAGTTGAAACTAAAGATACAATTCTAAAAAAACAAAAACACTTAGGCTTAAGTCAGAGATGATTAATATACTAAATTAAAAAGTATCCCTTCAACAGCTAGGCTGAGCTCAAATATTTATATACAAGTTGAATGAAAACATTGGCTAATGTGTCAATGTTTCCACAGACTGGAAATTAGTTTGTCCACATTTTTTTTTTTCTACAATTTTACTCCAAATTTAGGCCTGTTTTTGTTCAAATTCCAATCAATGGAATAATTTGTACATAACTCACTATTAAAATCAATAAATTGTGACTTTAATTATTTCATATCATAAACATGGTGCTAATTTTTTATATTTTTATGCCATTTGACTTTAAACTCAGACATTTTTATTTTAATTTCATTTTAAGTCTTCTGCTCACTATTTGAAGATGTTTTTTCATGTCAATGTTGTACTCAGCTGACTACTGGCGCCTATTTCTATCTATTATGTGTGTTGTCACCTACAGCAAAACTGACTGGCTGCATCTCTGGTCATCTGACTGCATGTACTATATTTCTTAACTGCATATGTTTTTGAAATACAAATTTTGGCTTTGTGTACTTATCGTAAACTTACAGGTGTGTTTTGATTATTTGTACATGGAGAAATGACAAGGGAGACTACTCATTTGGTGGTGTGTGTGACACCAATATTTGTCTCCTATGTAATGTTACTACTGTTCAAGCTCAGATTTGAGACTTGTGTTTGTGATTGTATATTCAAACTAATGTAAACAAACATTTGAAACATTGTATATTCAAACTATTGGAAACATAAACATTACAATGTTGATTTGTCTTGTGCAATGTTTGCCAGCCAAGTTACTCACAAGCTCAGATTTCACTGTAGACAGAGTAGAGTAACCCTTTTTTTTTGGCCATGTTAACTTACATAATATCAAATATACATTGTACCTGCCAAATTTATTGAAAGATAATGAATTTAGCAATGAAATGCTAACTTATAATCAGAATTTCCCATTTAAAAATGATTGATCATGAAAACCATGACATTGTGACAGGGCAGTGGTTCCCAAACTTGTGCTCCACGGAACCCTAGTGTTCCACCAGGCCTTAATAGATGTTCCACAAACTACTGGAATAATTAACTAATAGGCTACCATCTGAATTAACCTCAAAACAAAAATAAGCAGAGTGTTTCGCTAAATATTCAGAATGTACGAAGTGCTCCGTTAAGGAAAAAGTTTGGGAAACACTGTGATAGGGAAACGACAAAAACAAAGAAACTTGTTGAGGACGAAGGAGTCATCTTATCTTGTCTTTATGCTTTCACCAGCAGACACTCCCCACACTGTTTCATTTCTTAAATGCTTATATTAAGCATGTTGTTTTATTTATTGTGATTATAACTTTTGTTATACATAGGCAAGTGATCATTACTGATTGGAAGAACCTTTTTCGTCTTCTGTATAAATAGAACATGGTAATATACAAAAATAAATTCAACTGCTAGACATACTTTAAAACTTTTTTAAGATATATTTTATCCCAAAAAGATGTGACTGTGTTATTTAAAAATATGGTAATTATTAACTTGTACAAGTTATTGTTAGCATTTTTTTTTACGCTACACTTTATCAAAGAATAATAGCACACTTTGTCTTTTTTAAGCTGATAACTAGTAAACTATTTCCTTTGAAATTTTGATTTTTAACCCATTTTAATTTTCAAGCTCTTCTATTGTGGAGAAGTTTACATAGGGAATTGGTCTTAAATGGCTCAGTGTGCTGTTTGATTGCCAATTTTTTTACAACACATTCTGGTCCTAAAACTATAGACCTATGTGTGTGTGACTGTAAGGTCTTTGGTCCTAACAACAGTCTGCAATGCACTCCTTACTCCACTGTCTACCTGTCACCTTTAAAAATAAAAGAAATATCAAAAAGGAAAGAGGGAGATAATGGACTACTTAGATATTGCAGTTGAATTTCATATTCTGGCATCAAATGAAATATTATTTTTTTGATATTGTTTGTATAAAAAAAAATGTTTCTATTTGTAAAGTAAACGTGTTGAATTCATATAACCCTGTTTTAGTATTTGTACATTTTTAGTTTTCAAATATCAAGTGCAATCAATTCTTTAGTATGGCATGGTCTCAGCAGAAAAATGTAGTAGTTGCCATAACTAGACAGAATTTGGGAGAATCCCCACATTTTGTTTTATTATTACTATATGCTCAAAAAATCGATCAGCTTTTATATTTAATTTTTCAATTTTTTTGTCATTTTAATATCTAATTACTAATATCCGCCTAGTCATGTGGTTTGTGCTTTGGATTGTTGTCCTAATGGCCCTAAAATTGGACCCTACCCGCAGCCTCTTTACCATCTTGGGGGGGGGGGGGGGGGGGAGGTTTGGGTTAGGATGTAACAGGTAAAACAAAAACATGTCACATTGAAACATGTTACACTTACATTTGACTGTTCTATCCTGTCTCTAGATATGACAATTATTAAAATAAACTAATGTATTAATAGTATTTTAATGCAATTTCAAAACAAGTTTTATCAACATTTTTTGTCCAATTCATTTCTTAATAGTTAATGTAATCCATTTTGTAGACTGACTTGATTCATTCACAGTGGTTCTGATAAATTAATATTTCAAAACATTTTTTTAAATTTAAAAAAATAATTTTTTGATTGCAGAGCCAAATTTGATACTATAGGTAATATTTTATAAAAATAAATTTGTATTTTATAATGTTGTTACTAAAACAGTAGTGGCTTTGAACAGTTTAGTTTAAAATGTAATTTTGTGCGGACAATGCAGTTAGTCACTGTGATAAAAAAGACCTATAAAAAAATATTTTTTGAGAATTTATTTTTGCAAAGTGATATTAAATAATGATATTTTAATTTTTCATTTACTTTGAATTCCATTTTCAGAATTTTTTTTTAAGATTAAAAAAAATGTTAAAAAATCTACATTTCTACAACAAATATTTACCAATTAATTTATTCTCTTACATGTCTATTGTGTATACCAGGCTACATGATGTGATAAATGTCTACCAATAATTTTCAGTTTGTAGTTACACAGTTCAGAAAATCATCTACATGAGAGTATCATCATTTGATTTTTTTCTGGTCGGAAATATTTTACTCTAAAATGTATACATTATTTTTGTTTAATGCAAGAAAAATATCTTAACTTATAATTTTAAGTGTTAAAATGTATAAACATCATGGAAACTCAACACCCATTTTTTTTTTCTATAGTTTACAATTAGTTGCAGTAACTTGCTCATGTCCTCAAGCCTCATATTTTTTAAGGACAAAACATGAGCAAAGCATTTATGTTTCATGTAACTTCTATTGTCATAATACTGATGAAACTTTAATTGTCATAATACTTAACTATTATAAAATGTCTTGTACTCCTATTAGCATAAATATTTTTCATTAACGTTCCTAGAATAAATAGGTTTTATAGTTATGTTTGGCTAGACTAAGGTTGATGGATGTTTTACAAATTAAGAGGAAATGCGGCGGTTGAGGAGTAAAATGTTTGGCTTCAGAACCGAAGGGGTCCTATATTTGAATCCTGGTGAAGACGGGGATTTTTTATTTCTGGTACTTTAGGGCGGCTCTAAGTTCACCCAGCTTTAATGGTACTTGACATTAGTTGGGGAAAAGTAAAGGCAGTTGGTTGTTGTGCTAGCCACATGACACCCTTGTTAACCATGGGCCATAGAAACAAATGACCTTTACATTAACTACCCCATAGATCACAAGGTCTGAATAGGATATTCACTTCTTTTTTACTAATTTAGAATATAACCAGTGAAAAAGCTTTTAGTTTATGGCAAAGTTAAGTTTCTTTGTATTAATACACTTTCTGATTGAGTTGATGGATTATGTCTGTATCTATTAAAGGTTATTGTTATTCTGTATATTAAAGATGATCACCCAAGTATTTGGTTCCAAGTGTTTGAACTCTGCCATATACCTACATTTTACACTGCCTCCTTACTTAATATAGATATTTTCATTTGATAAGCACAATGTATTTCAATGATGATTTCCTTCATGCATCAACTTAAAAAGACTTAAAATAGGTGTGGCCATCGCTGGTCGATGCTGGTCACTGAATTGAAATTATTTTATTATACTTGTGACTTTTTTTTTTTTTTTAACTTTGAGTATGACTTCAGCCTGTAACCACTGACTGTAGAGTGTTTGTAGTATGTTCTTTACTGTTAGACTAGTAGTCTGTAGTGTTCAAGTATTGTCCACAGTTCACACACAGTTTGCCAAATGCACGACTCTATAGTATTTAAGTATTTTCTGTTGTTTTTTTTATAGAAAATTACTATATCCAGTTGTTGTTTTTTAATTTATATTTGTTTGTTTTTTAACTTTTACTTTCTATTTTGGTTGTAATAAGTCTTTGTTTTCATACACTGGTCAGTATTATTATATTTTAAAATTTTAATTCTTTTTATTTCACTCATTTAAAAGGTACATTTTACAAGGTACATTATTATATAACGTGTTCTACTAAATTTGACTAAAATAAAGTACGACTCAAACTTTGATAGTATTGTGTTGTGATTTATTGCACTGAAAAGTGTCTTTAACTATGATTTTAGATGGTATGGCAAGGTAGGCTTGGATTATATTATATATTGGGCTATATTATATGTGTGGAAATGTTTTACAACACATTATTAGTACTATAGCACACATAATATACTGTTATAAAACTGGTGGTGGCACAGATGGGGGTAGTGGTGTGAGTGTAGTCAGCCGACGCAAATCGCCCCAGGCATGCGCTAGCCGAGCGGTCAACCGTGACGAGTTACGACGGTCGGCCGAGACGAGTGTCAACATGATTGTTCGGGAAGGATCGACGTCGTGAACAGAGCTCAGGAGCGTCACGAGAGTTGTAGTCATCTGACCACCTAGAAACGTCGAGCGGCATTCTGTCTGGTTCGAGAAGGCCAGTAGGGACCCTATATAACAGCGGAGGGGTCGCAGTCAAGACGGTGGAGAAAAGGGGCTCAATACAGCACGGTTCACGACAGAAGGTCCACTACAATCCGGTCGACTACAGCACAGTTCAGCGGTGTGGTTCTGTACGGAGCATTACGACAGTTCAGTGCTGAGTACTGTCAAGTACAGTTGAGACGGCTGGCGTCTTGATCTTGGTCTGCGATCAAGTCCGACACAACGAACCTAGTGTGTGAAGTCAGTCCTGAACTGTTAAACCCAGTGCAAGCCCGGAACGAGACGGAGAGGCCAGTGCAAGAGTTGATACGGCGGTACGGTGTTATCGGAGAGATATTTGTACAGAGTACGTGTTGCCAATTGTACAGTATTGGCTGTTATTTATTCGACTATTAAAGTGTTACGTTACTTTGGAACCCTGAGTTGTCAAGCTCTTTAAGTTTGTGGTGTATGGTGCAGTTTGCAGAGAGCCTGGATAGTGAGATTCGTAACAATACATTTACACCACAGTTTCTCTTAAATATTACATGTGAACCTTAACAGTAAGTTACAGTCTGGTTTGGAAACTTATCCAAGAAATTAAAGTAAAGTTTCCCTTTCAGGCCTTGTGGTCTATTGGGCAGATGATGTAGAGATCATCTGTTTCTGTGGCCAACAGTTAACGAGTGTGTCATGTGGCCAGCACAATGACCAACCGCCTTTACTTTTCCCCAACTAATGTCAGGTACCCATTACAGCTGGGTGGACTCGAGAGGTGCCCTAAAGATGCTGAAATTTTTAAAAATCCCAGTCTTCACCAGGATTTGAAATCCAAAAGTGGTGAGACTTAAATAATCAGCAGCTTAACTATGTTGATGACCTTTTTATATTGAACCATTCTCGTCTGCCCCTTGACTTTCATTGTAGGGGTCGCTGTTAACAGTTTGCAAAACCAAATCCCTCTACTCTTTTATGGTCAGCAGCTGTTCTTAGCTCTTGAAAGATGTTTGACTATTTCCTCCAGTGTGACTATGACAAAAAAAAAGTGTCAGCCCATTTCACTTGCAGGTGATAGTCTTAGGCTCAAGTCCACTTGGAGATAGTATGATTATTTGATTATAGACTTAGAAATTTTGGCTTGAGCACAGCTCCACATGCAAGGTATAAGCTGGCAACATGTACCATAAAGACAGGTCGAGGTGAGCTTAACTCTAGGTATTGAAAGAACTAGAACAATATGTTCATGACGCTTTCTTCAACATGGTTTAAAGTGTTTTTGTTTCCCTCCTGGAAATGAAGTCCAGTCGCAGAGAATGAAGATACAAAGATAAAGGACATTATCTGTAAGCTTTTGTTATGGTATGGACCCTACTTGGCTATCATCCATGGCATTGGGTTGTGGGCTTAGCGAGCCCTGATTGAACTGTGGCACTGAGCTTAAGGTGTGCTATATTTATCTTGAATAATTTGCATAACTTGTACATGACCTTGTAAATACTATTGGTATTTATTCATAATTCATGGCATATTACATCATCTATCCAATAAACTGTTGTACTTAAACTTTTGTTGTTAACTGATACAGGTTAACTTATCATTATTACTTGTTCTGTGTAATTATATAACATGTTACCTAATAAACTGTCAGGGGTAACCGGTAGACGAGCCACGGCCAAATTACACCTTCAACAGTAAGCTAATAATCAGCATTGAGGTGGAGGAAACCCGGTGGAGCAAGTCACTCTAGATAGACTTGTAAACCCGCCTTGACACTCCAAACCTAAACACTTTTGCAGCCACATTTGACTACCAAGCCTACAACTCCCAACCTAAACACTTTTGCACCACATTTGACTAACACAAATCTCAGCCACAACACTTTTGCAACCACATTTGACTACCAAGCCTACAACTCCCAACCTAAACACATTCACTCATGTTGTTGTTTTTTTCTGATCAAGCTATAGGATTTTGTACTCCAGACTTCTTGGAATCTACTAGTCTGACCATTCAACATTGAACAAAATAAAAATTGATATCAATGTAAATATAAAAGATATGTCTAAATGTTACTAATGCATGCTACAAGAAAATCAGCACAATAAAACATGCGAAAGATTAAAACTTGACCATTAAAAAAAAATCAACAAAGTCTTTTTTTTTTCAAATCAAATTTTTTATTCTATCATAGTGAAAATAAAGTTCAATTAATACACATTGTGATCAACATTCTTTGAAATATTTAGTTTAAATCTTTTTTTTTTGGAATGAACAGCTGTAATTGTATTATTATATTATGAATTATAACATAAGTGATCTGACAGGCAACAGTTCTAAAATTCTGTTCATATTTGTTCAATAAACAATTCACATATTTGATAGAATGTTAGTGGAATAAATAAAGCTTTTAATATGTATATAAATATATTATTTAAATTTCTCCAGACAAATATGTCGAAATTTTTTATTTAAAAATGTATTTCACATATAAATAATTGATGCATATAGTAGAGATTTTGTATTTCAATCAGTTAGTTAGCTGATAATGACTGAAACATTTCCATAGTTTTAGAGTCTCCTCTAGACTTGGCATCTTGTAATATATTCTGAAACAAATAATTCATGATAATTCAGAAACAAAACATAACAAATGATATACATCTTCAAACTATAAGTGAGGGCTTAATAGACTAAGAAACTATCAAGATAAACCCATGTACAGTGTATGTCAGCACAAAGGTCAGGAGCAAGTGGCTTCACTGACTTATCAAAACTGAATAATGCAAGTCAGAGAAAACAATGATCTCTAACAAACATGCAAATATTTTCCCAGCCTCAGTTAAGCATGCTCAAGAAAACGTCTTTGAAAGAATGATTAAATAACAAAGTAAAAGAATATGGTCCCTGTTATATGGGTCAAATGTGATTTCAGATTGTAGAACTGAAAGAATGATCAGTGAGTTCAAGTCAAATCCAACAAAGTATTTCTCACATGTAACTGTTCTTCTTAGTAATATTTCTGTCCTTTTTTCTTTTACGCTTTCGATGTTCCTTCATAATTGAAGAATATTACATCCTGCAGGATGGAAAAGGTGGCAGTGGGCAGATTTCAAGTCTGGACTCATCAAGACAAAGTGATTACCACACAACCAGGCAGTCATCCATAATATTTCCACAGAACTGATGTTCAAAGATAAGAAGACTAAAGGGTCTGACTTCAGGTGTTTGATGTTCAGCATCAGTCAAACAAAAAAGAGAGCAAGAGTTACAGAAAATCAATTGGTGGCTTATTGTGGAACAAATATGGTTGAAAATGCACCTTGCATTTCTTTCTGAAGAATTCATTTATTCTGGGTTTAATAAAATAGAATTTTACATTTCTAAACGTATTACACATTACTTCTGAACAATATCTTTTGAAACTGTCCAATTCATTCGCTGCATGCTTAATTTTTTTTGTGTTTGCAATTAGCGCTTCATCTTTTCTACAGCAGTAAGTAATTCATAAATTAAATAAATGAAGAATTAAAATACTGAAACTAGTTCTCACTTGAATCAGATTTTGGTCTTGTTCTTTTGTTGATCCCCAAGAAAGTTTTAGCAACCATTGTCTAGCCAGAGAACTACAGAATCCAACATCTTTATTGGCCCTGACTTTGTCTAGTGCTGTAGCAAACAAGAATTTAGCTTTCCTGTGAAACAACACAAAATTGAAACAAATATCTATAAACTCCACTGACTGTATGTATATTTATCTTTGGTGACAATGACCCTAATTTAGAATTTTTTATATTTAGCTTAATGGTGGCAAATTTAGGTGGACATGTGGAGATAAGAATCTTAACATGAATTAACAGACAAGTCTAAACACACTAAGACTCTTATATTAACAGACAAGTAAAGACTTTTAAATTAACAGACATGTCAACACACAACTCCTTACTATGCAAAATATATGGCAAGAAATACCAGGCTCCTTAAGCCAACATGTTTGCTAAATATTTTCTAAGCATTCTTTAACAGAAAGGCAAAGCAAATAATATGTTACAAGTGTTACTCATAAAAAGATACTATTTCAATTGATATTTGATATAGTTGAGAAGAAAAAGCTCATGGCTCAAAAATATCAATGATATCTTTAATTCAACTGATACTGACAACTAAATATTAATATCCACCAGAGTATTGTATGGCTTTGTGACCTGGGTGCTCTCTAGAAGGCAATCTAAGGCTCCTCAAGCACTTCAATCAAATGTTCCTCATCTCCATAATTGGTGCTACTGGGACTACCTTACAATTAACCATGCTTTGCTGGAGGTTAGTGTGGACAGTATAGAAGCACCACTTACCGTTAGACAGTTGCGCTTTTCCCACATCTTTATTGGAGAGCTTAAAGGAAGACAGCATAACACAGGTGCCCCCCATAAGCGCTATAAAGATCAACTCAGTCACCATTTCGCCCTCACAGGCATAGAGGAAAGTTGCTGGCAACAGAATGTCTCTTATAGAGACAGCTGGAGAGCTCTCATGAAGGCTTCGTGGAACACACATTTGAGGCCTAGAGGAAAGTCCTTGTAGAAGACAGGCGCAGAAGATTAAGGAAAACAG